TCCACCCCCTGCGCGCCCAGTGCGCCGCTTGGGGCCGCTCCCCTCGTTGTGCCGCTGCTCGTCACCCTGCCGGGCCGGCCAGGCCGGCCGCCCGGCGTGTTCGTCACGACAGGCTCTGTCTCTGTCTCGCCTGCAGGCAGCATGCTGCGTTGCCATTAGCCTCCCCGATTCATCTAGTTTGTCTTGTTGTCGCGGCGTCGCCGAGCGATGGCCGATACTCACCCCTGGGCGGGCTGGCGTGCACGTACAGCCCGTTGACCTGGGCGGGGCCCGTCCCGGACGGGTCCTTGGCGACGGCCGCCCTGCGCCGTCGGGTCGCCGCCATGCTACCGGCGTGGCGCTGTGGTCACATCACCTGGAACAAAAGGTGTAGAGTAAGCGCGGGGTGCGCCTCGACGGGGACGTTCTGGGGGCGGACCGCGGACCTCGAAGCTCGGCCATAGCAACGGCGTCGCGGACGTCCAGACGCCGCCGCCGTGCCCCGCCGCCTGGCCCGGCCACAACGAACTACCCCTGTCGCGGCGGCCCCGCGGTGGCGGCCGAACGGCGCCGGCCTCGTGGGCCCCGGGGCGGAACCGGGCGGCAAGTCGCGCGACCAACGCCGCCCAGGTGGAGCACAGCCGCGACGGCTGGTCGAGCGGCGAGGACGGCGACAACGGCACACGCCTGCACCGCGACGGCCAGGGTCGCCGTCGCGGACTCGCGTCGACGCTGGGGATTGGGCTGAGGGGACCGAAGGCTCTACCGGGCCAGGCCATGGCGGCGGACTGCGGGACGTGAGGGCGCGGCTCGGGCTGGACGAGGACTGATGGTCTTCCAGTGATGCATCATTGCGCCGCCGAACAGTGGCGCGAGTGGCACGAGTGGCACATGCCCCACTTTTACGAAGCCCTCTGCCTTTTGTGGCGGCGTGGCGGCCAGCAGGTAGGGGTGGCAGCCGACTCACTCCGACAATGGGGTGTCTCTCTCCCTCTCACTCTCACAAGGCGTCTTCGACGAGTGCGAGAGAGAGAGAGACCGACGGCACCTCTCTCGGAACCAAACCGCAGTGTGATGGATGAAGCGCACCCTCGCCTACCTCGAGAACGACTCGAGTCGCAGAAGCAGCAGAGCGGCGGGCCCCGCCGGCGGGACGGCCGGTGCGGGGGGGCTGGCCGGGGGCGCGGCCGGGGACATGGCGGGCGCCAAGCCTGGGTGCCTAGGCCGTCCTGTTGTGCGGGAAGAAGACCTCGATGACGAAGCGGGCGAGCAGCGCGCACGAGATGAGCACGAGCAGCGTGCACAGGCAGCACAGGCAGCAGCAGATCATCGCCGCGCCCGCTTGTGCGGCACGCCAACCCTGCCGCCAACCCTTCCCGATCACTGGAGCCGCGCGGACATCGCGGCGCAGCGGCCGGCAGTGGCGTGGGGGCCCTAGCTGGCCCTAGCGGCACGACGACGCGCTCGTCTCGCCTCGCTGCACGGGTACACGGCCTGCGGGGGCGGTACCGGCCGGCCGACTGTGGCGTCGGACCAAACGCACGAGGGCGGTGGCGGTGCGCCGGGCTGGATGGATAGGCGGGGAGCGCGCCGGGGGTGGCTTTTTGGGGAGGCGCGCGGCGCGCCTAGCAAACGCTGCACCCACCGGCACCGCGAGGGGGAGGGAGAGGGAGAGGGCGCACCCCGACTACCCCGACATCGTCATGGCAGCACCGTCAGAGTGTTTCCGCCGGCCGCCACACTTGTTGCGGGGGGCGCCGTGCGCGCCGCCATGGCGCCATGGCGGCGTTGCCCCGACGGCGCCTCAAGGGCCTCATTACCGCGGTGCCGCCAGCACAATGTCAGCGCTCGCGAAGGGAAGGAATTGCAGCCGCGGTGCCGCGACGCGCTGGAGGCGTTAGAATGCGATTAGCGCCGCAATGCGCGGCGCTCCGAACCGACGCGAACCACTCCGCAGCCCCGGCCGCACCACGGCGGCACACGCAGGGCAATCAGCGAGCCATTGTCCTTGGTCGGCCGGGCCTTCATCAGCATCCGGGGGACGTTGCCGCGCCACAAGCGAGCCGCTGGCCGAATGACAAATGCTATCAGGCGGGGAGGGAGTGGAGCAACAACAACCCCTTTCTGTCGTTTTGGTCGTCTGGTTTCTAGGTTGGGGCTCTTTTACACCATCCGCAAGGAGCTCCTACACCGCGGCAAAGTGTGAGCAGTGTGCGTGTGTAGTAGGGGGCGGTGAAATCGTCCGGAATCGGCCCACGACCCCCAAGGTGGCCTGGGTGTAAGCACGCTGGGTGTGAAGAGATACGGCCCCTAGCCCCGGGGCCCCGGCCGAGCCCTCTGCTGCACAGGGCCTCGCGTCGCCTCGCGTGCCGGCTCTCCATGAAAGTGGCCCCATTGGCGGTATCAGTTGGAGTCTACACCATATACACCGGGGCTTGTTTCCGGGCGCACACCGTAACCGGTGCTCGCTCCGCCGCCAATCATTGGTCACCGCCTGTTACCTCGGCCGTCCCCGCGACGAGTGTCACTTTGGGCCGAAAACCAATACAGACGCGGTGAACCGGCCAACGACGGCCACGTCACTCAGGGCGCCGCCGCGGCCGCCGCGCTCGTTGAGGGCGATACCATCGCCGCGCATCACGCACGCGGCGCTGGGGAGCCGCGACAACCCGCGGCACGGCCGACCCCTCTCGCGCTCCAGGCGGCGCCGGACGGACGGTAGTAGCCTTCCCGAGAATGGGGAATTCCCAATTGAGGAATTGGGGCACGTGGCGCGCTGGTTCCACGTCGCCGTGCCCCCATGCCCCGTGGCCGCGGTGCGGTGGCGCCTCATCTATTAATTGCGGAGACTATTGAGCTAGCCGGCGGGGCCAGCGGCGGGTGGCCGGTGGCGGGTGGCGGCCGTGGTCGGGCCGGTCGGGCCGCGAGGCGAGTGTCCACGCACTGCTTCGCCGCGGCCACGGCGCCATGACGGCGCGCCGACCAAAAAGCACTCCAGAAGAGTCGATATAATGATTGTTGTCCGGCGGTCGTCTTGCCCTCGTCCTCCGAGAAGACGCTTGTCGTGGCGTGACCCACATCAGTGAAACGCGGCCGCCGTCGGGGCGGTGCGGCGGAGTGGGGGTTGCCGGGACGGCGCTGCACGGCTAGGGGGTGTCGCTTTCAGCTTTTCGGGGAACGGCAAGTGTCTCCGCGCGTGCCCTCTGCCTCGCAGCTGTCTGTCCGTTTTTTACGTTGTTCTTTCACGAGGCATTGATTTGCAGCCGCCGCAGCTGGGCGGCGCGGCGGGCGGGCGGTGCCGAGGGCGTGTGAGCGGAGTGGCCCACTGTAAGGAGGCCGGCCGGTTAAGTTTACATCGAGTTCGGACGTTAATCAATTATAGATCCATGACCTCGTTCGTCGTCCGCCGGCGGGGCCCCGTTTGGGGCGATGGCGCCGCGATAGTCCTCCCTCGGGAGGGTGGCCGAGGTGAGACCCACGGGCATAACTCGACCAATTTATTGATGAGCTAATCTCCGTGCCAATCTAAAATAGACAAAATTGGCTGCTCGACTTGGATTCCCTCCATCAGCTGCTGCAGTGTGGTAGCGTTGGTCACGCACCGGAGAACCTCGAGTTCAAAACAAAGTTCTTTACATTGATCCCACACGTGCTTTTGGAACGGCACAAGTCCTTAGGTGCACTTAACTCCGCCACGGTGCGAGTCCATGCGCGCAACCTAGTGGCTTGGAAGGCAGACGTGCCCTCGCAGCAACCCTTACGATCCTACTTCGTGCGGTACCATCAAGTTCACCTGGGGCGCTGCTGCTGGCAGTGCTGAGGTACGCTGGCCTCGCGGCGGTGTCCGGACGGTTGCTCGCTGGCGGACACCATGTCAGGCAGAACGTTGATGGGGGGCGCCGCACGCGTCCGTCGATGCGATCCGCCACCGACGACTGGCCAGCACGTTCTAGATAGGGGCCCGGCCCCCGCCGCCCCACTATTGGACAGCAAGCCACAGCCGCAGCCCCACCGGCCCCACCGGCCCCACCGGCCCCACCGGCCCTGCGACTCGCACGACATCCGAGCCCCGCCGGCCACCACCTGGCCTGCGCACCGGGTGGGCCTTAGAGAGCCTTGTGGGCCCTGTGGACCTTGTTCTTTTGGGCCTTGGTGGGCCTTCCTTGGTGGGCCTTGTGGGCCTTGTGGGACTTGGAGGCCTTTTGGGACTTGGTGGGCCCGGTGGGCCTGGGTGGACAGCGCCGTTCGGACGCAGCCAGCGGTGGCGTGTCGAAAACAAAACGGCCGGGGGAAGGAAAGGCAGTTATTGGCTCGGACGGCGGAGGTTTTGTGGGTGGGGGTGGGGGTGGGGAGAAATTAGGGCCCACGTTGTGTGCTCAGGGAAGTGCCACTTACCCTTGGCAATCAATCGGAAATGGACAAAGTCACTGTCAGCGAGGAAAAAGCAGATTTGGTAAGAATTTTTTTCAAACAAAAAATAAAAATTAGCTTGTTCTAAATCGTTCAACCGCCAAGAGGTACCATCTTTACGTCTACTTTCATACTTGGATAACGCGCGCCGATTTTTATGTGGACCAACTTAAGTAAATCAACGTAAATTTGACATAAAATGCCCGGGGAGTCCGAAACAAAACCACGTAGCTGCTGAATTTTGTGTCGCGCCTCGGTGGCATCAATGATGACGACTTGGATTTATCCCGCCGGGACAGCCAAAAATGCGGATCGATCGCGCCGTGCCTGCCGTGCCGCTTCCCACTCAAACTGGTCGCGCCAGTCGCGCCCAGCCAAACAGTCGAGGAACGCACAAGGCTGCCAGGCCACTGCCGCTCACGGCGTCGGTTCCCTTATACGAGTACGCCGCGAGGAACCTGACAAATTTTTCTAGTAAAAGATCCAAAAAAAAAAAAATTACCACTTCCGTGAATGTGTCGGGGCCGCTTCTAAACGTGTAAGACCCAGGCAGCCGGACTACTTTCCGTGCTCGCAACAGGTGGCCCCCCTGCAGTGCGGACTCCTTTCTGTTCTTCCTCCGCCGCTCCTCGACAACGACAAGTCCGCGCACGTTTTGGCAGAGCGGAGTCAGCGAGCGCGCCAAGAAGGTTCTCAAGCCTGCCTTTGTCCGAACACCTCACCTCAGTGAGTTTGTGGGACTTCTAGCGGCGTCGCGCCTAGTCTTTTACTTCTAGCATCAGTCAATCACATTCTGGTCACCATGTCTTTCTGGGGTAAGTGTTTGTCGTTTTTCTGGAGAGCCTAGGGGCCCTGGCATGTCCTGCCATGCCCGCCGTGAGCCGGCGGCTCTATGGCACAACTTGCCGCAACGCTTAAGGCTCACCGGCCATGCGTTTGGGAAGATTGGACTTTCTGAACAGAATTGCCATGAAGAAACCGCGGTCCCCTGGGAGATTTCTTTCACTTTTGTGGCCGTTGGCCGGGTTTGGCCGGTTGCTGCGGGTTTAACCCCACCGGCCATGCTGCACGCCTCCATAGGCTTTGGAAGCCTCTCATTTGCTTGATCAATTTTGCTGACAGTGTTTTGACTGGTAACGATATGCTTATCCCTTGTGTTCCTGTTGTGAACTTCTTGACTTCCAATTCGCGTCCCATTTGCGATCTTTTTCGTGATAACGGCTGATCAGACTGATTCCCTCCAATTTCAATGCCTGCTGTGATTGATTCAATGTCACAGTTTCGAACAGCTGGAACACCTTATCTCGATTTCATTAATCCCAAGACTCGAAGAAAAGGAATTGGATTTATTTTGGCCTCTTCTCTGTCAAAGTTTTATTAGTTCACTCATTAGTTGAAGTAGGGTTAAGAATGGTCACATGTGCTTATGTTTTGGCACCGAACCATTTCATATTTATTCATGAAGATATACCGGTCATATGATTTTCTGGCAGAAATTGATTGATGTCTGCGTGAACGTATAATGCTTGTTTCAAGGAATATATTTTGTGGTCCTTGGCTCGTGTCGATTCATTGCTTCTCTAATTTGTTCAGCCTTTTTACAGTATTGTCATGCGACATGACTGGGGCTCTCTGATTTTTGCTGTCTTTCATTTTATTGTTCTGTTTCGGTTTCAGGACTCATTTTGGAACCCAAGAAGAGCTACACCCAGCGCGGTGTTGAGCAACCTTTCCACGTCTCCAGTGCGGCTTTAGACTTGCAAACCTGTGATGGTAAGGTTTAATAACCAGTCACACATCCTTTTCGTAACTTTATTTACTACAAATCTCATTTCATTGATTGTTTCAGATGGCCCTGTGTCTGTGGTGTGTCGGAAAAGCGACCAAGATTTTATTTTGTGCAGTCTTTCCAAGTCTGAAGGCATTTACAATGTGCCCTTAAATTTGGACTTCGAAATTGGTTCAGAGATCACTTTCCATGTAGTAGGAGACAGCACTGTTCATCTTACAGGTTTGTCAAACTTAGTGCATTCTTTCTTTTGACTTAAATTATGCTATGTTGTTTCTATACCTCCCATATGTTTCAGGTTACATTGTTGATGAAATGGAGTTGGATGATGATGATTCTTCTCTGGATGAGCTTGAAGAGGAAGAGGATGAATCTAACAAGGGTATGATTTCTTTGCTATATTCTGGCAATTGCCCCTAGTTTGCTTTTTGTACTAAACTCATGTTGTCTTGCAGTTGCTATTCTCAAAAATACCAAGAAACTGTTGGATGCTGCTGCTGCTAAGCGCAAGCCTGAATCTTCTGTTCAAAACAAGTCTAAGAAAGCTAAGGTCGAGGTACAGCAAGATGAAGATGATGACGACGACGAAGATGACTCTGATTTTGAAGGGGAGGAGACCATGGATGGGGATGAAGATCTTGGTGAAGAAGAAGAGGAGGATGACGACGATGATGATGAGGAGGAGGAAGATGACGATGATGACGATGAGGAGGAGGACGAAGATGATGGTGAGTATCTTTGCTCGTTTGCTCTTTGAACTGTCATGTTGGACTTTGGTTGAGACTCCCTATGTTCTGCAGGTGAGGCTGCTGAAGTGTTGAAGAAACTTCAAGCCATGAAAGAGAACAAGGCTAAACAAGGCAAAAACCAACAACCTGCTAAAGGATTACCTCAAAATGCCAAGCAGGGAAAGAAGGAACAAGCCAAGGGCCAGAACCAGACTAACAAACAGAACGTAAGTGGAAAGGGAAAAACCAAGAACACTAAGATCAAATCGAAGAAACAAAGTTAATTAAAGCTCTTAAGATTAATTCTCCCGAAGTTTCAACTATTTTCCTAGTCCTGTTTTTAATGCCTGGCCGTCCAGTTTGTACTTTTGATAAATAAATCTCAATACTTACCAGTGTAGTTCACAAATACTTCCTTTCCCGTCAGTCTTTGTGACAATTAAATGGCTACTGGCATTAGACTTGCGTTAATAACTCAGGCATGTCTCTCAGATTAGTCTTTTTATCTTCATCATAGTTTCATTCAGCAATGTGACAGCCTGTTACAGAATAAACTGACATTCAATATACCAAGGAATTAATTTTGGCATGATGTGTTTTCTTGTAGGGTGCCCCTCAGTCGAATGGTGTAAGTAAGAAGACTATTACCGGTGGTATTCAGATTGAAGAGTTGCAATTGGGAAATGGTCCTGCTGCCGCCAATAACAAGCAGGTGTGTATTTTGGCCCCTTTTATGTAGTTCTTGTACTCCTTGGAAATATGAACACCCTACTAGATTTTTAATTGATGCGTTTCAGGTCTCTGTGTACTATGTTGGTCGTCTGAAGTCTAACAACAAGCAATTTGATGCCTGCCAATCTGGTCCTGGCTTTAGGTTCAAGTTGGGTAAAGGCGAAGTTATCAAAGGCTGGGATCTTGGTGTTGCTGGTATGAAGGTTGGAGGCAAGCGACGACTAACTATTCCTGCAAAGATGGCGTAAGAAATTTTCTTGTCTAAAATTTTGCAACTATTTAAAGGCATATTCCTTACCTAACATCAAATCATTTTTTTGCAGCTATGGACAGGAAGGAGCCGGTAAGACTATTCCCCCCAATAGCACTTTGGTCTTTGATGTTGAGTTGAGACACGTGAAGTAAGCACCTGTTTTTGATTATCATGCTAAATATTGGGGAAAGAATTGAACTTATGTTCAGGAAGTTTCAATTTTATCTAAGTTGACAATGTGTGTACTGTGACCCTTGTCAGTACCTGATTCTTGATGTGAAGTGTTTCGGATTATGCACTTGTGTTTCTGGTGAAGATGAAGACTGTTATGTGTATGTTATTAAGCCGTTTAGTCCTTAGTATTTTTATAATTGGTGGCAAATGCCTCGCTGTCTGTATTTATGTATATAATTAGTGTCATTTGACCTGTTTCTACTTTGATTGTTTTTCAATTCCATCTCTTGTGATCTGGTGTTACAAAGTTACTTGAAGTTTGATGGAGATTTTGAGTAAATATTTGGCCATGTTTTGGTAAAGCCATTGCTTGCTGGGTTGTCTAAATCAGCTTCTAAGCTTTTGGATGTGTTATTGAATAAAAATTCTTTGTGCTATGAGATTTTATATTTATTTAATTCACTATACAACTTAATGCTAATCAGTCTCTTACATTTCTTTGAATATTTCATGAGGTGCTGCTAATCCCAAGTAGAACTCTAATTCGATCAATCTCCATTGCCATTTTCCTACGAGGACCCAGCAACCTGCAATTCATAGCAGACAGTTGTGGAAGTCCCTGGTAAGTCCTTTTAAATTCACTGTGACAACACTCAAAGGCACTTACGACACTCCAATGCGCTTCAAATCGTCTTCATTCATGGTCAAGAAAGCTGGCAAGTCTAGACGTTGGACCTGGAACAGGGGTAGATACTTCTGCAGGGAGAGCCCCTCCAGGACGCTGGCCAGATTGAGCTGCTGGTGCAGGGGGACGTCGTCGTTGGGGGCGGACGCTGGCCGCGGTGGCACTGTCAGCCATTCAGGGGTCAAGGACGAAGGTCAGGAAAGGATGCGCAACAAATCACCAACGCTCACCTGCGGGTAGGACCTTCAGTTGGGCACCTGCTCTCTTCAGCAAGTTGCATGTCGCCGGCGGGCGGCAGCGCTCGGCCAGTTGGAGGACGGTTTGTCCCTGGTTGTCACTGCGGGAGCACAGCAGTGAATGACATGGGAAAAGTAGCGGGCCAAAGAGAGGGACAGACAGGCTCACCAGGCGTTGACGTTGGCACCCTGGCTGACGAGCATACGGATGAGGTCCTCGTTGCCACCGCGCACGGCGTGGAACAGCGCGGTCTGCCCACGGAAGTCCCGCATCTCCAGCGACTTCGGCTGCACAAAGTAAACCGTCATAGTGGCGCCGCCGAAGACTGATTCACTGTCTGGCACGGGCAGGGCACTCACCTTGCACAGCATGACGGCGATGCGCAGGTGTCCGAAGCGCGACGCCACCATAAGCAGCGAGCGGCCCGACTTGGGCAGGCGGCCCACCGTGGCGTCCGTGGCCTCGCAGCCCGCGCGCCGCGCCGCCGCGAGCAGCAGCACCACCAGGGCCTCGTGGCCCTGCCACACGGCGAACATGAGCGGGCTCCAGCCCAGCCCGTTGCGCGCCAGCGCCAGCGCCGGGTTGCCGTCCAGGGCCTCCGCGACCACCTGCTCGTCGCCCAGACTGGCCGCCGTGTGGACGTCCAGGGGCAGCGCGCCGGCCTCCGCGTCCGAGATCCACGCCGCCCACCTCGTGTCGTCTTCGTCCACCGCGCGAGGGGCAGGGAAGGCCACCGCCGTCGCCATGGCCTGGAAAATCAAATTGGCCCAGGTTGTGACACGAGATTTCTGGACAGCCTCTGAACCATTGGAACTTCTTTATTGGGCTGAATCTATCAAACCTGTATTAGAAAATGGTTCACTCCCGACCCACTGAAAAACTAACGATTTGAAAACGCCGCCCTCTCACTTTACCAACCTGAGACTGACGTGACCCTAGTCTTTTACGCCTTTTCCACGCAGCAGAGCTAACTGCAAACATTAGATTGTCTCTCGCACATTTAACTCCGAAAGTTTTCGAGAATTCATTCTTACCTTTTTTCACCCGGGCGCTCTTTTGACTTAAACGAAAGTAATGGGCAGTTTATTGCTTTGACACACTCGGCTTCTTTGGAATAACCAATCAGCTGATTGCATGTTGGAGCTTAGGCTCAAAACAAAACAAACTTTTTTAAAGCCGCACAGAGGTTGAAGTGGAAGACCATTGCATGACCACGACTTTATTGTCGCTTTCAAAGGTTCGCAAGGTATTTTTCCATTCTTTGCGTGAGTACGAAACACGTTTTGAAGTCTCGCAAGCCCCAGAGTAGGCACCCTGTTCTTGGCCTTTCTCCTCACGACGGCCCCCCTCTGCACTCGCGGTTTACCTGCGATGGCGAGGTTAAGTCCTTAATCCAAAGTGAAACGACGAGAGTGTTGTCGTCTCCGACCGTCTAAACGCCCGCTAACGCCACGGTGAGGGTTCCAGGACCGCGCTGAGGCTGCACCGGGTAGATTCAGTCAGATGCAGCCAACCTCGACTAGGGAAAATGAAAACAAAAACAAAGGTCATCCGTCATCCCCAACTTTTGGTTTGGAACAGGCTTGCGACAGGCAGAAAGTAACTCGCAGAATTTTCCGAGGGCCATTTGCTCTTGGCAAGACCGTTTTGACGTGTGGTTGCCCCTCAAGAATGTAGGACCATCTGTCAAAAAGCATGACATCAACAACAGAATGTTAGAAAGGGTTTCCATGTGGGTCATGAATTCCCATTGATTAACCTGTCCAGGAGTTGGTTCCTTGGACGCCCCATGCCTTTTTGGGTATTAGCCTTTTCAGCCTTTAACTTTGGAATCCATGGCATTTTGTTGAATTTTTAAAGTTTTCTTCTTCCACTTAATTTTTTTCCCTTTTTTTTCCCAGTCTGCTGCTTCAAGATGATGTGACTAAAATTAATGTCTCAGTAAACAATCTGTATTTTCATCCTTTATCACAATGTCGGCTGAACAGCCCTCTAACGAAAGTGAAATCAATGAGGAAAAGCAAGCGGAAGATACAAATAAAGAGTCAGGGGGCAGTGGTTCAGCTCTGGCCCAAAATGGAGAGGCTTCAAAGAGTGGACACCAGGTCCTAAAGGACATTGCTATTCCTGGTCCATCTAATGGAGAGTCGAAGTTGCGGGTTGAACAATCATCCAGTACCTCTACAGACCAGAAATCCCGTAAACGTGAAAGATGTGATGATGATACAAGCAATAGCGATGAGGATGATGATAAAAAAGTTGAGAGTAATGAAGCTCCAGCTGAAGATAGGCCAAATGATAATGAAACCTGTCCCTTCCCTCGATTACGAATAAGAACCCGACACAGGCGCTATCGACGTCGCCTTAATGACAGGAGCAGTAGCAGCAGCAGCAGCAGCAGCGGTACCAGCAGCAGCAGTGGTTCTAAAAACAGCTTGAGCTCATCAGATGACGGTAAATTGCACTTATTTTTGTGAGATGGAAGGTGTTAGATTTCAATCTATTCTCTGCTGCTTTATGTTTCAGAACGGCCTCATGATGCAACCAGTTCGAGTAACCCTGTTTCACATCCAGACGACTCTGACAGTTCTGCTGACAGCTTGCTTGGTGATAGGATCTTGCAAGTGTTGACAAATCAGGCACGGGCAAGGTATTTATTTATTAATTTTATGTACTAGAATTCATCCAGAGTTACCTAAAACTCATGTAATTTTACAATTTATTTCAATTTTTTCCAGACGCCTGGCTTTGGACAGTGATGATACATGGAGTCTTATGGACTCTGACGATTCTGAAGGCGATTCTCGAGTCCGTAATACTGAAATTGGAAAAGTTAAAATTAATGAAGAGAAATATCCTAAATGTTTATCAAAAGAGATACCAAAACACAAGTGGAGTGTTACTAAAGCCATTCTCAACAGGTATTGTTTTTACCTGTACTTCATTTGTTGGTATTAATTGTTTTGTAAACCTGTTTGTTTATTTTTATAAACCTCTTTTAGGCAGATTGGTATGAACACAAAACATCAAGAACCTCAATTGTTCTCACAACGCTGCTATGGCTCATTGCATTGTGTTAAGAGACTTGAATTGATGTACAAATTGGATAAACATCATGGGTGTGTGAATGCTATAAGCTTCAATCAATCTGGGACTCGTCTTGCCTCTGGTTCTGATGATAAAAAAATTATTGTTTGGGATTGGGCTATTGGTCAGAGTCTCTTATCATATAGTAGCGGACATACAAACAATGTTTTTCAGGTATGAACAGTACATAGGAGAGTGATTTTTGATTGGACTATTATTATCTCAAACATATGTATTACTTTCAGTGTAAGTTCCTTCCTATGACTGGGGACAACCACATAGTATCATCTGCCCGGGATGGGCAAGTGCGACTGGCTGTCTTGTCATCAACTGGTGAATGTCGTGGAACAAGGAGACTTGCTCATCACCGGAGACCTGTAAACAAACTTTCTCTTCTCCCAGAAACACCCCATGTGTTTTTAAGTGCAGGGGAAGATGGAAAAGTGATGGCTATTGATGTTCGTAACAGTAAACAGTCTACGTAAGTAGATTTAGTTCATAGAAGTGAATAATAATAAATAATTCAAATGATGTATGCTTTGAATTAATTATATCTTCTCCATCCAGTCTTGTTACAGTTAGAAATAATAGGTCCAAAGTGGGTTTGTACAGTGTTGACTCACATCCTCTGAATAGTGAGGAGTTTTGTGTGTGTGGAAAAGATTATTACATCCGAATTTATGACAAACGCAAGATTGATGTTAATGGAGCTCCTATGAAGAGATTCTGCCCAAGTCATATTGTAAGTATTATTTTAGTTGACCTTTAAGTGTCTGAATGTAAGATTTTTCTTGATTTCTTTTTCCCCTTTCATTTTAGGTTGGCACTGATAAATATACCAATGTGACATGTGCCCTATACAATCATGACGGTACAGAAATTTTAGGATCTTACAATGATGAAAGCCTTTATTTGTTTGACACTCGACATTCGGATGGAGCTGATTTTGTCCACAAGTATGAAGGTCATCGAAATAGTGCCACAGGTTGGAAACAGTTTGCAGACGCTCATGCTGAAAAGTTTGTCTTGCACTCTGAGTTTACTTAGGTTTCTGTTGTCATTTAAATGTTTGCAGTTAAAAGCTGTGACTTTTTTGGACCCAAGAGTGAATATATCATGTCAGGATCAGATTGTGGACATATATTTTTCTGGGACAAGAACACTGAAGCTATAGTCCAATTTATGCGTGGTGATGAGTCTGGTGTGGTAAGACTAATTGATGACTTTGTGATATTTACATAACTAGTTTACATCAGGAGAAGAGCTTCGTCATGTATTTCCTTTCCTTTTCTTTATTTGTTGGTCAGGTCAATGCTTTAGTGGGTCATCCTCAGTTCCCAATTCTAGCTACAAGTGGATTAGATTCAGATGTTAAGATATGGGTTCCATCATGTGAAGAAGATCCTGAAATGAAGGAGCTAAAAAAGGTATCTATAAGAAACACTTCCATCGTCAACTGAATGCCTGTGAAATGACAAACAGCAATTCCCTTTTAATTTTTTTAACTTTATTTTTTAACTTAGACAGTGGCGCAGAACCTGCAAGATCGAATGGATGAGCAGCCTTACAGAGTAGATGTATTTGAAACTGATCTCAATTTCGGTTTTCCCAGCAGGTTCAGGGCTTCTGTGGTTCGTAACTTTTCCTTTTATGAGCACTCCCTTCTTACGCTATTCTCACTCAAGTTAAATTTTGTGTCCTTCTGTTATCAGACTCATTCTACACCAAGGTCTTCAAGTTCTGATGGCAGTGACAGTGATGGGAATTCCCCTCGAATTCAGTGTCCTCAATCTTAACTAGAATCTGCTTTGGTCTATTTTTGGAAGACTCTCAAGTTGAATCTGTTTTTAATCTGTTCTGTAGCCTAGGCAAACTAATATTGAATATGGTTGATTCTTCTTATATTTTAAGTTGGAATAATTTCTACAACACTGCTCATTGTTTGTAAGTCATTTTAAATAGTACAATATAATTTGAGGGATAATTGCTTTATTCAGCTGTTAAGTAACATGTGATTATAGGGCTGTTAATTATTATCTCTATAGTCTTTTATTTTGTTTCGAAGGTGATACCATAATGACATGACATGCCCCTGGCATCACTTCATATCACGAATTTTCCGATGTGTTGCCTGTGTAAAGCAGTCTTAATCTGGAAATTTTGGTCCAGAAATTATTCTTGCAATCGGAAGAGTGGCCCTATGCATTTCTTAGCAACTTCGGAATCCGTTTATTTTGGCTGACCTAGTTTCCATTCTACCCCTCTGCAAGTTCAGTTAATATATTTCCTTTGTGTTTCTTCATCAAGTTAAGGCAGTGCTAACTTTACATAAAGTTCTTTAACAATGTATTTAGTGCTTTATATTGGTAGAAATTGAGACTTGTCCAAACTTGGAATTGTGATCTGTTGACTGAAACATCTTAGTATGTACTGCTATCCCTCTCGTTCAATAATATTAATTTTGGTCATTATTTGATTTGATGAATAGATAGTATTCACAGTACTCTGACCAGATCATTGTGGGGTATGTTCAGTTCATGGTATGAATCAGTCTGAGGAAATACAGATTGTAAAGGGAGACTTATATAAAATTGGGTTTTATTTACACTTAAACAGTTTTCATGTAAAAAGAATCAAAGAATAAAAGTCCAATTGAAAGTTATACAAATTTAATTCTTAATTTATCCTAAGTCCATTGCATTTTATACACACTATCTAGCTTGCTGCGAAAAGTCAGGAAGTTTTCCAGTTTTTTTATAAAAAGCAAAAATTTCTTTTCTGTCTTCTGCACCTGGCATATCAGGTTTGATATTCAGGCGTTTTCGATGCTTTCTAACTTGCTCCTGTGGATGGGAATAAGCAAAGACGTACAGTTGTTGTGATAATAGCTACTACACATAAGCAGATAGTACGCACCCAAAATTGACGGCAAAACTTGAAATTTTCAAATGCTACCTCACATTTGGAATAGTCATAGTTGTTTCTGTCCAAGCACGCCAAAGACTGTTGTCTTTCCTAAGAAAAGAAAGCAATAAATTAACTGAAACACAAACACTGTCTCAGAAGAACCAAAACCACAATGCAAGAACATTGAAGTCTAGTACCTTAAAACAAGGAACATCTTCCGAAAGCAAACTTCCAGATTTTCCTCGTTGATCGTTTCCAGCTGACATTGTTGTCACAGTAAATCTACAACAAATGGAAACAACTAAAAGGATATGCCATTTTCCAACCACACTTCACCTTCTCGTTGTCGTCTGCTGCGTTATTCGCACCACACATGTCGCCAACCTAAAGTCATAAATAACTTAGAAAAATGTGAACAGGGACATTTAGTTCGACATAGTTTACATTTTTCATGTAAATAACAAACAAAAAGTCATAAAGGTTCCTCTTGAAACACTAAAACTTTCAGATTTGTCAGATATATCTGGCACAAAGCAAGGTTGTTTGTTGGTGTTTCTAGGTGGAGAGGTCAGCCAGCCTTGGACAGGCAGCAGCAGTCAGCTGTGAGCTGTGAGCTCATCAGTTTTTGTGGATTTCCCCTGTTTTTGCCAGTTTTTATCCCCTAAATCGTTCCGTATTTCTGAAAAACAGAGTCCAAGATGGGGACTGCTTGGACTCACTTTGTGGCACCCGGCACTATACCCCTCGAATTTGCGGAATCCCAGTTCGACCCTATGTTCGGGTTCGAGGCGACGGGTCGGAAGGAAAGAAGTAAGAATCAGGTTTCCTACTGCTAAATTTCGTACTGACAGTCTCACGAATCCAACTGGGTTACAATTGACCACTTTTGTAGTGCAATTTCCTACGATCGTTGTTTCTACCTGCGGTTTTGTTGTGATTTTCAACCTTTCATTTGAGGTTATGTTGTTTTCCAAATATGTTGTTTTCCTCTCGGTTTTGTGAAAATTCGAGTGCACTTAGAACTTTATCATCTTCCTTTACCTGTTCATAATACAATCCTGCAACTATTTGTTCCCTTTGCAGAAATTGATGCGACGATCGCAGAAATGGATTCATTTTTATTACCATCTGAACGGCGAGACTTTTGTGCAAAAGAGTTGATGGAGTATCAGACATGCATGACTAACAACTTTCCTCTGTATCTGAAATGCACTCATCAACTGCATCACTACGGATTCTGCCAATATGATGAGTGAGTGTTGCCTGATAGTTGGTAACAGGGTCTCTGTACTCCATGTATGCTTCTGTGCTAATTATTCGTTTTCTGTCTATAGTTACGTCATCCGAATGAAGGAATACGAACGAGAAAAGAGGCTAATGGCAAGAGCCAAGCGCGTGGGTCCTGAACGAGCCGGTTACAAAGTAGCTCCTACCGAGAGCTAAATATTCAAAAATTTTACTCAATTTGTAGTAGGTGAAAATAACTTGTGAATATTGTATATTTAATTAAATTGGTCCCACATGGGAAAACTTTGTTTTTCTTTATCATTGATGAACTGCCAGTCTACCGCCAGCTGAAAGGGACACATATGTGTCGTGTCTTTTGACTGTACTACATTTTGGGGTTGTTGTTATGAAATAAACAGGAATTTTTCTCAAACTTAACTTTTATTTCACTCCAAAGGATTGATGAAACACAATATAACTAATTAAGATCTTTTTTCGATCATAAAACAAATTGGGTACAATGCTGGACCCTAGTAATCAAATCAGACATAGTCCTGATAAGCTGGTGGACACCTCACATTTTCCCCGTAAATTAAACACGGGTTCACACACAAGTGTTTTACTTCGAAATCAATAGCGACCAATGGCTGTGAATGGTTAGTGGGCAACTGCATTCCGGTTGGGTACGATATCGCTGGCTCCATATTCTTATATACACAAAATAATGATATTTACAACTGACACAAGTCACAAGACCCGCATTTCTGGCTGGAACTGAGCCCGGCCCAAGTTTTTCTTTCCGCGCTAGTCGCACTTGGCCTTCGGGGAAGTCCAGCTCTCCTGACACTCGGCCTGCGGTACGAGCTCTTTCGCCCCCCCGAGTACGAGCTTTGGCTGCTTGTCGTTGTTGTTGGACTCGTCGAGGGGCTTGGGCGCGGGGGCAGCGCTGCAGGCTTTGCCGCTGTAGGCCTTGCCGTAGAAGTCTTGGAACAGGAAGTAGAAGAAGACCGAGTTGGGCAGCGTGAAGATGAGGGTGAAGCGGGGGAAGCCGCAGTCGCGGAAGCACAGCTGCGACGAGTGGATGAAGGTGGCACAGAACTGGGCCTGCGCGGACACAGACAGGACATTCACTTCACAATGAACAAGCTCGGATCCAGAGAGAGAGAGAGGAGGGGGGGGGGGGGGGGGGGCGGAGCGGAAACCACCCACGGTCCCTAGACAGCCGCCTGAAAGGTAGGCGAGTACCCACACCCACACTTTGGCCCTGCAAGCAAGCCCAGTCAGCCACTCACCAACTGCAGCCTGGTGATGTACGGCTTCCACCACAGGTCGTGGTAGCCCATGGCCGACAGCAGGTAGTACATGTACATGGGGATGTGCACGAAGCTGTTGACGAAACCGATGAACGTCCCGTGGCCGCCGGGCATGTACTTGACGCAGCCCCACGACACGATGGGCATGACGGTGTGGTGGTACAGGTGCAGGAAACTCACCTGGAAGTTTACAAAAGAGATAAGCAAGGGGGCTGCAAAGAGGGAAAAGTGGTTACATTGCGACACGAACCTGCCGGTCCTTCTTGCGCATGACAAAGAACACGGTGTCCAGCAGCTCCGTCAGCTTGGACGCGAAGTACAGGTAGCACGCGTCAGCAATCTGGAACGGGGCGAGTGCATTACCGCCATGCAGTGCCATGGCAGTGCACTGCACCAATGGCGTGCAGCGCGCTCCGACTCACATTCACTGATTCACTGGCTCCGGACCAACCAGACCAACCTCAAGCGCCCTGGGCGTGGTGCTGTAGTCCACGGGTTGGCACAGCCAGCTGTAGTCCCGCAGCCACGCCAGCCTGGAGGCCTGCCACAACGCGGAGAGTGAGATGCGTCCTTGGACGTCCCCGCGACCCCGACGGCCAACGCACTGTTCTGCCTCTCACCTGGTAGAAGAGGTAGCACGACAGCACCACCTGCAGGAGGTTGTAGGCGATGAGCGTGTGGTACAGACTGAAGGGCTTCCGGTTGGCCATGAGGGCGGGGCCCAGCTTCTGCGAGAAGTAGTTGTAGAAGGCGAGCAGCGACAGCAGCGGGATGGGGTCGCTCATGAGCGGCCATTGCGACGTGCGCGGGTCTGGAGGGAGAGGGAGCAGCAGCCGGAGGGCCGTAAAAAGTTAATTAAACGAAAAGAAACGGAACAGTGGACCGTCCTCGTCTTGCGGCCAACGAGTGCCACCCACCTGTTGCCCAGTCCAGACTCGGCCCTGACTCTACTCCCTTACCCTAAAGACCCTACGTAACTTAACAACTAAACCCGTAAAGTAGCGATATAAATAATAGATGATTAAAACTAGGCTGAGATGTGGGTGCACGGCGGTCAGTAGCCGTGGATGAGGCCGTGGCCGTGGCGGTACACGCCGCTGCAGCAGCCCAGGCCGTCCAGGGCGCCGCGCAAGGCCCTGGCCTCCTCATCGGCGCAGTCCGCGGCCCCGGCGTGCGCGTGGCGGCGGCACGAGATGAACAGCCTGCGTCGCCACCCCAGGCCGAGGTTGAGGCTGAGCGCGCGGTGGAGGCCCGCCGCGCCGACACCAGGACGACCAGGACGCGAGGGTGCGCCGACGGCGGCCTCGGACTCGCGGGGAGCGTCCTTGTCGACAATCATGACGTGCGGGGCGGGGCGGGCCTGGCCGGGATGCGTGTCACCGAGGCCGGAGCGGGTGGTGGACTGGCGCAGGCGTGCGCAGGCGGCGGGGTGGACGCGTAGCACCGCGCCGCATTCCCCGTCCCCTCCCCGCCGCACTTCCGAACGCGAGTCCGAACGCGTGCTGCCGCGTGCTGCCTCAGCGACCCACTTTTGCGGCACTTTGGCCGGTGCACGCGACACGCCAATTCGCGCCAATCGCCACTCGCCATTCACAGCTCCATGTTTGACGCCGTCGATGCCGTAGTAACAACACCGGGAAGCAGACTCATTCCGAGAGTTGTTTCCATCGCTCTGTCTCTTTCGCACCTGTACTCCCATGGAGACCGAGAGAGACAGAGCGATGGAAACGATTCTCGGAATCAGTCTGCTGGTCATGATTCACTTCCAAAAGTTCCAAGAGCGCTTCCCGCTCACCCTTGCCCCGCCAGAGAGCGCCTGTGGTCGGGGGCATAGGCCAGCCCGCGGGGCGACCGTGCGTCGCGTGGATGCCTATCCTCGGTCCGAGGGCTGAGCGCCTTACGACGGCGGGGTAGGCAGGCCCGCCACGCACGCGAGTCTTGCGGGCCTGCCTACCCCGCGGTGGTAAGGCGCTCCAGGCGCGCCGCCCCGCGAACTAGATCGCCAGGGAGCTGGTTTTCCTCGGCCCGAATCCGAATCCTGCTCTAGAAGTGAAGCGTTTCCCGCGCCGCTTGCATGCCCCGCGCCATATCGCGCCGCGGCGCAGCAGCGTGTAAACATGTTTCGTCGAGCCGCGAGTGCAGGCGACTCCGCGGCCACGACGGCCGTAAGTCGCTTCGGTGGCCGGCGAGTTGCGAGGGTTCTTGCGGTGCATCTCGGGGTGGAGCGCTGTGCGCGCGCAGTGTGCGCGCAGTGCGGCGAGGCGGTACAGTGCATTAAAACAAGCCCAGTGGCTTGCATTGCCGACAGTCCGTCTGGCCGTCTGGCCATCTGGCTGGCTGGCTGGCTGGCTGGCTGGCTGGCTGGCTGGCCGGCCGCCTACCTGCAGCCAACGCGTTGCCTCAGACTAGTGACCGCCAGCCCCGCGCCGCGACCGCCGTTTGCAAAACATCTTTCTCTTACCGGACAGCGGGCAAGTCTTGGTATGTGTCTGGACCCCGACCCCGAGCCCGCACCTCGGCGCGCAGATTACCGCCACGCTGCCGCGCCACTGCAAGTGGCCGACTGGCACCGACTGGCCGGCCAGCGGGTTCATTTCGAATAGCGCCTCACGGCGCCGTCTCTCTCACACCCCCACCCCAACGCTGGGAGTGCGAGGGAGACAGAGCGAGGGCACTGTTTGGACTCAACCCGCAGATCGGCGCTGTGACCTCACCGGTCGACAGTGAGCGGCCCGCGCTCGCACCCGTACCTGCCAGGTCGGAGAAGAGGTACTTCCAGGAGAGGGCGGTGCCCAGGTCCAGGTGGGTGCCGTTGGCTCGCGGCTCCATGGCGGCGGTGCGTCAGCGCGACAGCGCGACAGCCTGCAGGGCCTGCTGCAGGGCGGCTGCGTTGCGGCAGAGGGATCGCCGGCCTCACATAACGACCGGACGACCCGGGCCAACCTGGAGCAAAACAAGGAAAGCGTTCGGACAACTTTCTCATACGTACGAACTGCGCGAGGAGCAACAGTCACGAAAATGAGTCGCGCCATTAGGGGAAGCATGTTCTCACTGAAATTATCGAGTGTCCGCGCACCACCTCGGCCACCGAGCCGTGCCGTGCCGAGCCGCGCCGAGCCGCTGTGCAATTAAGAAGGACTGCCGCTGATGAGTGCCGTGTCCTATATGCATCGCGTCACGTAATGTGCGGTCCAGTCCCCCCCCCCCCCACAATCTCGCAGTCCTGATTGAATCCTTAAGCGAGGTCGCCCTCCGTGTCAAAGTGTCTCGCCTGTCTCCTGAAACCGATCGCCACCACGCACCAACACCACGGCCAATATAAAAGTAATAATGATAGTAAATGCTGATAAATAATGATCAGTAATGATAAATAATAACGTGGCTCTGCCCGGCGCGGCCAGCGCAACCGCGTCCGAAAGGGCAGCAGGCGGCATTCTCACGCCGCGATGACCGCTGGAGGCTCTGGAGGCGCCTCGGATCCTTCGGACGCGGCCGAGAGGCCGAGGCGCCGAGACGCCGAGACTCACTACTTGCGGCAACAACACACTTCAGCAGGCAAATCGGCACCTTCGCCGTGATTGAGAAACAGCAGCACGCATCGTGGAAAAAAAAAGGAGAGCCTGTTTTTCACTTGGCAACTTGGCAGTGCGGCGTACCGCGTCAGCAAACAATGCCGCTTTAAAAAAATGTTTTCAGCGCGACGGCTACGATCTCGGCCCAGACCGGCCACGGATGAGGAAGAGGCCGAGATGCGACCACTCTAACGAGTTTAACGCCAATAGACCCTTTCATTTGTCACGGAGTGAAGCTCACAAAAGATATAAATTTTCCCAAACCAACAAGCTGCCAACTATATCGGTCGTTGTGACCTATGTCGGGACCGGGACTTGTGACCAATCAGGGTTCTTAATCTAACAGTCGACAGTAAGGGCCGGTAGGTGGCGGGCAGCTGGTTCTGGGAACCATATCACTCGACGAGTCAAAGGGTCTAGTTGCGGTTGTGCCTCTCCACGGCGAGCATTCTTGGCTGTGAGGTTGACCATATGTCAGAAAGCGCCGTGGTGTCCTCGCGAAAACCGCGGCACAGAACGGCGCACCTTGGATGCCTCAAAGCAGAGCAATGGGAAAATGGAAAGAAAAACCAGGAACAAAAACAAACCACAGCCGACGGACCGACGGACTGACTGACTGAAGCGCTGTCGCGGCGTCTGCGGGGCTCTGCAGGCACTGACTGGCACTGACGGGCGCTGACTGGGCCAGGGAAACTGGGTGATATGCCGCAGGGGGCAGCGTGCCGCGGCGTGTCGGGCCGCCCCGGAGCCCCCGGAGTCCTGGTGGACTGGGCTGGGTGCCCCGCGTCCCGCGCCCAGAGAGGGGGGCACTAACCACTAACCACCCGACTGGTGGCCCCCCTCCCCTCCCCTCCCCCATCTGCACCTGCGATTTATGCTACGTACAGTGCAGGGGAGGCCGCCGACTCCTCGCGCTCCTCGCCCAACAGAGAAAACAGCCCTCGTGCCAATTCCCCGCCAAGGCCGCCGTCCACGCCGCCGTCCACCTCGCCATGCAAGGGACGCGACGGGCGCCGCCCAGAAAACGGACAGAAAAAAGAGGCTGCGACCACCGCAGCTATGTTGTTTTTGTTTTTGTTGTTTGCAGGAAGCCGCGGGCCTGCCGCCACCTACCGCCACAGGACGCACAGGACAGCGCGGAGCTGGCGCCGCCGCCTAGTCGCGCAACGGGTGCAATGAGGCGGTCGTCGCCGCACCGCGCCCCGGACGGGAAGGACTTCGCAAGACGGGACGCACGCGACCGGCTCGGCTCGGCCCGGCCCGGCCCGGCCCGCTCGGTCCCAATACGCCGTACGCACTTCTACTTCTTATCCGGGCCAGGCGTGGCGCGGCGGGCCTAGCCGGGCCTAGGCGGGCCGCCTCATAGGGCATCGTGGAAGGGTGGCCTACCTGGCCGGGGCACCTCGCCGGCGAGACAGCGGCAGACAGACTGCCTGGCGCCCAGTGGGCGAGGTGGCCAACCTCGTCGAGCGCAAGCGAGACAGAGCGACGGGTGGCCTACACTGCAGGGCGCCAGGTGAGGCCGCACGAAGTGTTGCCTGCCCTCGCGGCGCACGTGAGGTGGTACAAATGCTTGCCTACCTAGCAATGAGCAGCGAAGACTGGGAGAATGGTTGCCTACCTGACAAGGCACAGGTAAGACTGTTCGAAGTGTTGCCAACTTCCCGGCGCAGATGGCCGTCCCGTGGGCGCGCAGGCCCGCACGAAGGGTTGCCTACCTGACGGCGCAGTGTGCGTCGGCCGGCCGGCCCGGCGTGGCCGCCGCCGAGCCAGTGTGACGGCATCGCGCGGGTTACGGCCATCCGCGTAATTTATCACCACTTGCTCTGCAGGTCTGCAGACTCATTCCGGGGATCGACTTCGTCTCTCTCGCACCGAAAGGGGAAGCCCCACGAGTGCGAGAGAGACAGCGACGAGATCGCCTCTCGGAATCAGCCCGCAGGGCAGTAAAGCGGGTGGCGAAAGGAAGCGCCGCCAATCCGACACCATCGACGGCGACCCTGTCGGCCCTGTCCCTCGACTCCCGGCGGGGTGCTCCGTGTCCGCGGTGTCGTGTCGTCAGCAGCCTGGCGGCGAGGCGAGGCGGCGTGTATCGCGCCGCGTCCGATGGCCCGATGGCCCGATGGACCGATGGCCCGATGGACCGATGGCCCGATGGACCGATGGCCCGATGGACCGATGGCCCGATGGACCGATGGCCCGATGGACCGATGGCCCGATGGACCGATGGCCCGATGGACCGATGGCCCGATGGCCCGATGGACCGATGGCCCGATGGCCCGATGGCCCGACACTGAGAAAACCTTACAAACTATTTTGGGCCTAACAAAGAAAAGTCGAGAAAAGTAGTTTGTATAACAAAGTATTTTGAGCATACGTAAGCTTACAAAGAAAATACTTTGGAATTTACGAACTATTTCTTCGTATAACAAAGTATTTTAGTTTGTTATGTGCATACTTCGTAAGGTTTTAAGAGTGGATGGCCCGATGGCCCGATGGACCGATGGCCCGATGGCCCGATGGACCGATGGCCCGATGGACCGATGGCCCGACCGGACAGAAGATCATGGAGGACCCACCTCTCCCCCACTCCGCGGCCACCAGCGGCACACCAACCAGCGCGCCGGTCGGAGCGCCGCCAAACAAGACTTTCCGCGGTTATTACTATTTCTGCTCAGCTGCCGGCTGTTGGCTGGTGCTGCCTTGTTGGCGCTCGTCTCGGCCGCCGTAATGTATTCCAGAGCCGAGCAGGGAAGGAGCGCCTCGCCGCGCTCTGCCTGCGTGGCGTTTTCCGCCCTTCTGGAATCGTCTGTCCTCGGTCCGACTTTGGTGTTTGGCCACAACGACACTCGACCGGCTGATTTCCGACGGGTCGCCTCGTCGCCCTGTCTCTCACACCCCAACGAGACTCTCCACGACAGTGACCTGGCGATCGTTTGGAATCCTTCGGAATGCTTCGGGAGGCGGCCGAGGAGGCGGCAGGCACTGCGCGCCGCTTGACTCGCGTCGCCGGTTGGCGACGGCGCCTCTCCTCGTCGACCCCCCCAGATCCGGGACCATCCGGAAGCATCCGGGACCGGGTGGGGGTCACCCCGGTCACCCTGCCGCTGTCACAGCGGCACCACGCCGTCACTCATTGTCTGCCGCCCGCCCCACCCCGCCCCGCCCCGCCCCGCCCCGCCCCGCCCCGCCCCGTCGATCCGGCTTCCTTTTTGCCGCGCACTGCGGCGTGTGCACCGTGACGCGGTCGACGCGGTCGACGCGGTGCAGCGAGACGACGCGCGCGCGCGAGGCGCCGGTCAGCTCGCCTGGGTTCAACTCCCACCAGTGCTTTTATTCTCTTTCAATTTTCATTCTTTTTCTTTCAATCATTGCAACGAGGGAACGTTTCTAATACAAAGACGGTGCCACGCGCGCACACTCGTCTGTCTGTCTGTCTGTGTGTGTGTGTATGTGTGTGTGTATGTGTGTGTGGATGTGCGCGTCTTCGGCTTAATCGCCGAGTAACCAAGTAGTCTGTCTCATTGATTGGTGGGTAACGTCGCCTTGGCGCGGCGCGGCGTTGGAGCTGCGGTCAGGCGCGCGCACACACACGAGCACACCCAGACACAGCGGCACGCGCGCCTGTGTGCCTGTGTGTGTGCGCGACTGCGCTTGTGCGTGAACTGGATGAAGCGTGCCGTTGGCAAAGAGACTGCACTGGTTGCTGCACTTTGTTGTGCCTCTTATCGCTCCTGGGCACACTGTAAAGATAGGGCAAAAAATTTAAGTATCTGAGATTACTATTTGCTAAAGGTGACTCCGCGTCCGCCTTTGGTTGTAAAACTTTAAGGCAAAGCGTTTGACGGGTGTCTCTGGCCGCCACTGGCGATGGCGTGGGCTGCACTCCCGGACCACAAACTGGCGCCGTTGCTTCAGCCTGCACGTCGCGGACGACGTCACCGAACGGCGCGGCGGAGGTTCGATCCCCGGCGGCGGCGGCTCGGTGACGCGGCGAGGTGGCGGCCGGAACAGAGCACAGCCGGCACCCGGCACGGACATGCAACACTCGTCATCCAGCACTGCCAGAACCAATTACCGGGTACTAATGATCGGTTCCGAGGCGGGGGCCGCGGGGGCCGCGGGGGCCGCGGGGAGGCGGAAGGGGAGGGGGAGGGCGGCAGGGAGGTGTGGTGGCCGGTGGCGGCTGCGACGGGACAGTGTTTAGAAATCAAGAATGTATGGCGGCTAAAAACACAAGGGAGGGGGTCGCGACTGGTTCCTAAGTGGAGC